TAACAAACTACTAACTAATCTATACTAAAAGTATAATGTTTGAAGGATTTAGATGTTGCGGATTTGTTCGAAAGAGGCAAGGCTATGAGATTTTTATAAGGATTTGACTAAACTATTCACAAAGAATATAACTAAACTAATAATTCCTAACACTAAGTAGAGAATTATAACATTAAACAATATACCAAGATCACAAAGCAAGGTATAATTAACAAAGGTTTCAGTATTTCACCTAGAAATAATACAGAATTTCACTAAGAAATTACAATGGTATAAATAATAATTCACAAGAGTATTATTTATAAGGCAAATCACAAAGTATTTTATTAACAAGAACTAAGAGTTAGCTATCGAACTGAGGACTGAGCAAAGAGAAATTCAACCTTTTATATACATAATTGAAGTTACACTGTAGACTACACTAATGCATACATTATTAATTACACTGATGTATATACTATTAACTACACTATCTATTACACTATTGATTATGCTATTGAATATATTATTGATTACGCTGTTCATTACACTGTTAATTACACTCAGATCTACAGTCATAATACCTAATAGTTGTATCAATTTCTAAATAATTTACGCTAATAATTTCCTATAATATATATACTAATAGAAATATAAAATTAAACTAATAAGATATGGTTATAAGCTAATAAAATAATAATATAATAATTGATTAAACTAAAAATATAATAATATTAAGATTTGACAACTAGGATCAACAATATGTATCTATATAATCCATATATTTCATATGGTTAAGGATTGAGCTTTGTAGTTTTCTATTATTTTGATTTTTTGTTGTTGGTATTGTTTTCTTGTCTTTTTCTAAGTTGAATGTAATGTGATATTCCAGTCTTCTCCTATTATTATATACCAGTTTTTCGACTTTATTTCATTCAAATTTTCTATTATTCATTTTTTTAATTTTAATCTTATTGTTATGTTTTTCGTTATTTATGGTAGATTGTATATTGAGATTATTTATATTGTGTATTTTCTTTTAAATGATAATAGCAGTATCAGGACATATCTGTTTATTTCTTTTTTTTTATATATATGTTTTGTTATTTCTTTTTTTATTACTATTGTTATTTCTTGTCTTAATTTTTTTGTATTTTTTTCTATTGATGAGTTTCAAGTTTTGTATGTTTTTGATTTATTTAATAAAAATTTTTCATTTTTTTGTGTTAAATGTATATAATGTTATTGAGTTTTTTTTAATATTTGTTTCTTGTAAAAATATAATATCTATTTTTGACTTTTTACATTGATTCCATAATATGTTTTATTTGGTTTTGTCATTTAATCTTTTAATATTTTGTGTTGCTATCTTCTATGTTACTTCTTTTTTGTTGTTTTACATTGTTTCACTTGTTTTTGTTTTTTTTTTTATATTTTTTTTTGATTTTTTTGATTTTTCTTTTTTTTCTCTTTTTTTTTTTTTGTTTTTTTCATTATTATTTCCATTATTTAATGTATACATGTTTCCAAAATTGATTTTGAATTTTTGAGGTATTTCAACTTTTTGAGATTTATGCAAAATCTATTCTATATATGGAAGTAAAAAAAGTACCTAGTTATATGTATCTTTAATCAAAGAATAAATTTGAGTGGTCAAAAAATTTCAGGTTTTAAGTAAAATAATTTCGTCTTCTATGAAAAACTATTTCGACTTTTTTTTCAAAATTGCAATTTCGAGGCTCCAAAATAATTTTGCGTGCAAGTATAATTTAATGAATTATTATTGGTATTTAATGAGATAGTATTGTCTATATTGTTATTTAATATACTATCATTATTATTATTATTAATGTTATCTGTATATTTATTTATTATTATATTATTGTTATTAATATTTAATAAATTATTGTTAGTATTATTATTAATTTCTTTTGTTTTTTCCTTTGTATTAATACTTATATTAATATTATTTTTATTATTTTTATTACTTATTATTAATAGTTATTTATAGTTGTATTTTTTATTTGTTGGTAATTTGGTTTCCTGTTACTAAGTCTATTTTTCGATATGCTACTGTTATTTGATTTTCTATGTTGTTTAGTTTTCTTACTATTTGGCTTAAGTAATCCATTACTTCATTGTCATTTTTGTCAGTTTGTTTTTGATTTCCTTTTCTTTGTTTTTTTCAATTTTGTTACTTGTTATTTTTATATATTTCCTTTTCCTTATTACTTATCATTTCTGTTTGGATTTCATTTTCTTCTATCCTGTTAATATTTATTTCCCATTTTTGTTGAAGGTTATCTACTCTTTCATTAAGTTGTTCTATATTTTCTTCTATTCTGTTTAATCTATTATTTATGTTTTCTAGTATTTGTATCATTCTTGTTTTGTTTGTGTTATTGTTTTTTTGTTGATATTTATATTGTTGTTATCTTTTATTTTGATATATTCTTCTTTTTACTATTTCTACGTATGTATTTTTTTTTATCTGTGTATTTGTTTGTTAGTGTGTTATATACTCTTGGTTGATATCTTTTATATATTTGATTAAATTTTTAATAGTTTTATTTTTGTCTAAATTCTCTTTTTTTATTTTTTTTTGCTATTGGACAGTTCAGAACTAAGTGTTCTGTCAATCTATATTGATGACATATTTTTTAATCTGCAACAATAATTTTAATCATGTATTGATCTACTCTATATCCCTTACCTATTGCTTTCTCTTTGATTTCTTGTGATTCAAAATTTAAAATTGTTATTTCTTTTCTGTTTCCATTTCTTGTTACTGACATGTAACAGGTTTGTACTCCTATTTGTTTCATTATTGTAAATAATTCTGCAGGTGTTATTGTTGGTGGTACATCTATTGCTTTAGTTGCATAACCTGTTTCTTTCAATTTTAATAAATCTGTATATTTGATTTCAGAAGTTATTACATGTACATATTTATCTCCTACTATTTGAGATTTTTGTTCTAAAATTTTTTCTGCAATTTCTTGTAATTCAAATTGAATTCAGAATATATAGTATAACTGTTTAATCTTGTTGAGTTTGATACTATTTTGTCAAATTTGTTTTCTACCATTTGTGAAAATATCATCTTGTTTACTTTTATTGGTATGTTCCAAAATTTGACTACTGAATCTGTTATTGTGTATTTATTTTTTTCCTTTAATGGTGCTCATGTCATTTTAATTGTTTCATTTTGTTCATTTGTTTGGATTTTTATTTGTAAAGCTTTTTGAAGATATTCTTCTGTTTCAAAAGTATATCCCCTTTTCATTGGGATTTTTTTCTCATGATAAATTTATCCAGTTCACTTTTTTATTAAATTCCTTTAATAAAAATGATGTTTTCTCTTTTATATTTTGTCCTTTAATATTACTGAATTTTATCCATGCTTTGTATCTTTTGGCATTAATTTCTATTTTCCATTTTTCATGTTTTTATAAATTTGAGTCAATTGATGTTATTGATTTATTATTATCTATATCATTTTTTTCATCATTTTTCTCCTTTTCTTTGCCTTTATTTTTTGTATTTTCACTTTGATTTTCATTTTCTTCCTTCTCTTTTCCTTTATTTATTATAATAATATCTTGGTTTGATGTTGTTTCTTGTTCTTTGTTTTTTCCTTTTCTTTTTTCTAAGATTTTTATCATTTGGTTATTAAGTTATACCTTTTCAAATGTTATCTCTTTTGTTGTGTTAATTTTTTTTTCTTTGTTTTCCTGTTGATATTCTCTTTCTGGTGTTGCTTCTTTTGATGGAGTTATTTCTATATCTTGTTCTATGTCTTTCTAGAAAGTTTTAATACTTGAATTTGATGAGCTTGCTTCTGCTGTCAGGTCTTCTTCCATGGGGACTGTTGCATTTTTATACTGTATTCTTTTTCTATTTTTTGATTTTACCATCTTTATTATACTTGTTGCTGTTTCTAATATGTTATTCTTATTTTTATTTTTCTTATCTGTCATGTTTATTGGTCTTTTTTTGCTTTTATTTTTAAGAAAATAAAAAAAACTCTATTAATTTTTCTTTCTTTTACTGCGGATTTTTTTCATTTTTGCAGAAAAGAAGAAAGAGCTTTTTTTTTATGTAGAAATTATTGATAATTTTCCTGAAATGACAAAATGATCAACAATAATTTCGATCATTTTTTAGTCGTGTCTAAGTAAAGTTCTGATCTTAACTAGAAAACAGCAAATACGATAATAATAAACATTGTAGACTTGGTTTAGGGCTACAAGTCCTTATAAGATATATTGCACTTCTAGTGGATAGTTATTGAAAACGAGAGACATTACGATTAACAATTTGATTTGCAATTTTTGGATAGCTTTATTTAAGACAAGATTTCTGTCCGAGCAAGCATCCAATTTCAACAGAAAAGATATCATATGATAGCCATTGATCAGGGGATCTTTTTAAAAAAAGTTTACGCAATTTAAATTATTCCTTGTGTCACAATTTTCCTTTGAATTTTATTGATAAATTTGGTAAAAAAACAGTTGCCCGGATACTTTTGGCAGGTTGGTGTATATAAAGAGCATATAGTAAATATGCAAGTTGAAATGAGTTTATTGAAAATGCAAATTGCTAATCTTGAAACTGAAAACACAGAGTTTAAAAATATGCTTGAAATCGGAAAACAAAATGAGATAACAAATACTGATAAAGAATACTATATATCAGATAGTACAAATCAGCAGTTATCTTCAATTTATAATTAATCACATTTCGTTATGGTCCGAAAATGTCATATATCATTAGTGAGACTAACAAGGTTAATAAGCTTAGTTGCAAAAATTTATATCACGAATATCTTACTTGGTGTAAGATTAATGATAAAAAACTATTAACTAACAAAAGGTTTGCACAAATTGATATTATTCTTCAATATGATGATGAGATGATTTATAATGATATTAACGATGATAAAGGTTAATATGAGATTAATAATCTACGAAGGAAAAGTTAGTGACAATCACCGGAGGTGAGCTTTAGCTAATTACCAACTATTGATCGTCATTTGCTTTTAAAAATGAATAAATAAATGAATAAAAACATTAAGATAGAAGCGAAATTTTATTTAAAAAGCTTATTAAGGTTTATATAATAACCTACTCATGTGATCACATTAAGAACTTTATTGTTACTATTTACTGCAAATTATTTACTTTCTTAAAAAATAATCTTTACGTAAAGTAGGAGAAAGAACGTCAGAAAGTGCACAGCCTAAAAATTCTTCGGTTTTTCCATCTTTAATATCGACTACGATTTCGAATTGTGAAGGTAAATCGGCTGATGCGGGTACCGGAACATTAAGTACTGTACTAAATTCTGTTCCAGCTGGAATTGGACATTTAATTCCTTCACTAGCACAAAAATCCGTACTAAAGGGATCAATTACTGGTACATAATCAGTATCAAGAAATGCAACCTCAGCCAATGTGCTTCCTGGATCTGCGGGAACATCAACAGCCAGTGTTCCAGACATAGTAACGGCGACGGTTTTTCCAGGTACGATAGGATCAGGTGAAAGTTTTACAGTAAGTAGGTTGGAGGAGGGTCTACAGGGCATGCTCCAAAGTTAGTAGTTCTTTTATAAAGTTGATGTGGAATAGCATTGACCATTAAAAGCGAAGTCAATAAAATGAATACAAAAATTTGTTTCATGATTTCTTTGATAATTATGGTAAAAATAGGTTATTGAAAGTTTTTTGTTTATTTTTCGGGTTTTTAGGGCGGTTCTTTATTGCTAGAGTAAGTTGAAATCATTGCTCTTTTATAAGAAAAGAAAAGTTTTGTAAAATCGTATTTCCGCCTTTTTTACATTAATCTAGTCATTTCACATTTTTCTTTCTGAAATGAATTGAACATGTTTTAATAGAATATTAATCAGTACCTTTAGTAGTGTTGACCGATTTCTAACTATTTTTTATATAATAATAATAATTGATATAATAATTTGAAATATTAAATGAGGCCAAAGAAAGCTAAAAACGCCCGAAATGCACATGCTCGCAGGTTACTAATTATTGGTGAGCACAAATCTATCATCACGTTTTTGCAGGTCATAAACTTGTGAACTTATTTCGATTGAATGCATGATTGGGCACATGATATATTTTTTTTGCCCGATCGTCATTACTTGAGTTTTGCGGTCAACACGTTAAACTACGGCACGTTGTATGTCATAGTGGCTCTCAAGTGACGAGACAAATGCAATCTACACATCACCTTCATCATTTACACATATCAGGAAACAAATTATTTAACCATTGAAGCATACAGAGATAACCACAGAAACGGATAGGTTCGGGGGACTTGAGTTTTACAATTCTCAAGTCATTCGAGTGACTTGAGATTTGCGATCAACCCATCACTCGAATGACTTGAATTTTGTGATCTACACGTCATTTCTGAGGGGGTATAACCTAAACCAAGTGGAAATAACATAATTATGTTATTTCCACTGCATCTCGACTGATAAATTAAAAAGTCAGTATATGCACACGAATAAAGAATATGTATATATTCCATGGTAAGTTACTTGAATTTGTAATAAAGAAGTTCATGATACTTTCCTTTTACCACTTTTCATTATTTTCTTTCATATCGCACTGAAAAATAGATTAGGAAAAAAGCTAACGTATGCATGACTATATATATATCTTGAGCTAGTTATACAAATTTGTATATCATTATCCTTATATGTAAATAGTATAACATATTGTTTTAGTTTTCCTTCTATAACATATAATATGTCAAGTTACTGAACAATATATTGCGAGAAAATTACACGTTAATAACTGCTGAAAGCAGTCATTTCGTGACTATGGTTAAAATTGTTCGTTATCGATATCTGCTCATGTTAAAAATCTCACAACTATATATCTCTACAAAATATGATAATTATAACACTCTTGAAGAGATGGTTTGAGAATCCAATTCACACTAAAATTGAATCACAAATTTATAGTATATAAAGTTAATAAATCCAATAAGCCTAAATTCCTAAATTCAATATTGTAAATCACATATAACTTTCATAAACACTACAAATTAATTATATAAAATGGTTAGCTTAAGTCAATTACGTGGAACTAAATATTCTGATGAAGAATGGGAAAAATATATAAAGATGGGAATCGTTTTATCGAACGAGACTTCTACTGATTAGATGAAGCGAATTTGAGAACATCTCACATATTTTAGAGAAAATGATCTTTTAGCTTATAATAAATATCTTAAATAAAAAAACAGTTAAATTTTTTTTATTTTTTTTATTTTTAAATTAAAAAAAAAAATAGATAATTAATTAATTTATTTATTTTTTAACAAAAGACACAAATCGGAAAAACAGCAATAGTAAACGGACGAAATGGCGAACTGGCAAAATGGAAGAACGGTAAGTTTTTTTTTATAATTTAAATACAAGAACGAAATTTTTTTTTTGATCTAGATTGAGTTCACATGGATGCATTTACCGAGGGTAATGTTAAATATAAGTGGGGATCTAAAAATCGTTGCACCGTGCAAAATAAGAGAGACGCACTTAGAAATTATGCCCCAACATGAGGTTAGGATTAAAGGGTGCATTTAAGAAGGGATGCACTTATAGAGGGTGCATTTATAGAGGGTTGACTGTACAAAGTAGAAATTTATACATGTGATTATAATCTTTAAAGGTCATTCGCCAACGTATTATAATCACATTTCCTGCATCCGTGATGGATAAATTTATCCGCGGATCCCACCACTACTTCATTGTTACAAACAAATATATTAGGTACATACGTTACATGATAGTATAATAAAAATACGGCCAAAAAAACAATATATCTATTTTTTTTTGGTTTTTTCTTGTACACGTTGTCTTTTACTTTCGGGATCTTCGCAGGCCATTACTTTAATAAACCCACAATTATGCCGATTATTTGTCTTAGATTATTTCGTAAATTTCTTGGTTCCCTCTAATCGCCTTTTCGTGAGATCTATTTGGTATTCAGATTTACTTGTGCAATATAGCCCGTCTGATGTAAACATTATAAAATGCCAATCTTCTCATACCATAAGCTCGTTTGTTGTTTGTATGAGATTAATAATTGTGTGGGAAAAAAAACCGGAATCAAAAAATCGATCATAAATACTTAATCTGTATTACAAATAAATTTTATTTTTTTATTACAAAAATAAAAATAAAATCGTTCATTGAAAATCACGTGTAACGATCGCATCGATCTCGTCCCAACTTGGAGATTCGCAATGCTGAATATGATTTTACCCTTTCTATTTTATCTTCACCAATTACAGAAAATAAGTCATAAATTTTTCTTGATCTTTCTATTCTTTTTTTCTATTGCATTCTTCGACAGGTCAGATGGTAGTTCTTCGATAAGAAATCTCTGGGACCTACGTTCTTTTTTTGTTTTTTTATAATCGGCTAACTTCTCCTCAAGATTCTTTCCAAACAAAAAGTATGCTCTCAAGATTTCTTGATTCATACTTTCGATACGTTCTCCAGCCTTAATAATTGTATTGTATAAATCAAAAAAATAGCCAATCTCCTCTTCGATAACTTCAGATTCTTGTGTCGTTTCGGTGGATAATTCGTACCGTCATACCTCATTTTTGATAACTTAATGTTAAGTCACATGTTAGTGTAGCAGAAATCTAGCTCGCGAGATATTACTTACGCTTTTTTTCCAAATACAAATTTAAACGCTATGTTGTCTGATATTAAAGACCCGGCTTTGAATACTTTATGATCACTCCTGTCAAGATTGTGACGTAGTCCAGTACCTTGAATCATGGAATCATAGCAATATGGACTTGGATAGACGATCGTAACGAGAAGATTCAAAATGCAGTTGGAGAAGATAAAAGAACAAGGTTCAGAAGAGGAAGGGAATAATGCGATGTCTTGAAGATCAATTTTATAAATTATATAAATGTAAAATTACTTGTCACATTCAGTAGTTGCCTATGTAACTTCGCCTTCGCATGGATCTTCGTCGCCACTACTACAGCTAACCCATGGAACTTCGTCTTCGCATGGTTATGGACTTCGTCTCTGCTGTCGTCAGCTTGTGGCTTGCTAACTTTCAGTTCTAGATATACTAATATATTAATTTTATTTTTGATTTTTTAAGGCTGAATCTAGAAGAAAGGGATGCATTGACAATTTTTGGAAGAACACTTACCTAAGAAAATTTCTGTTGAAAATGAACGGATAAATGCAGAAAATATAACTTTATCTTTTTTCGTCTTGTGAACAAGTGCAAATTAATGGTGTCGTTAATGTTTCTCAAGGACGCAAACGAAATTATGAACAATCAAGTATTGAAGAAACCAAAAGGGTGAGTCTAGTTTTTGTAAATAAAATAAATTTATATTTATTGGAGAGTCCCTGCAGGCATTGATAATCTCAATGACAAACAAAGCTAAAAAGAAAAGATGAAGCCGATAGCAGCAACATAGAATCAACTTTTAACTCTGAACTGGAACCTAATTATGATATAAATATCAGCAATGAAGAAATATTGGATTTTGATCCACTAAGTGACATAGAATCTGATATTAGTGAAACAGAACCTGATAGTGGGTTATCTTCTGTACGAAAATATCCAGATGAAGATAGTCCAAAAGATATTTGGCTCTTACCATCAGGAAAATCGATAAAAAACATAATTCGTGGTCCAAAGAATCTTCACATGTCTCAGTAAGTTTTATGTTCTTTATTTCATGTCTTTTGACCTAACAGATTAACTCATGTAATTTGTACACCTACAGTATATGTAGCCTATCATTTCTAGATATTATACGTATTGGCTCAGAAGTCAGGAAGCCAGAATGGATTAAACAAGAGGATTGGGATTATTTAAATTCAAGTGTCGAATATACGCGTTACGATTTATCAAAGATCTGTTTAGTGTACTATTAGAGACCGTAAGTACAAATTGTCTTTTAATGAAAACGTTAGTTATATTTATATTGATTTTTTTTATTAATCATTAATAGAATTCACCAAATGGGTCACATTTGACCGTGAAAATGATATAGAAATGATATTTGTAACAGATGTCTTATCATGGTTGAGTATAATAGTTTTGTAGAAGTACTGTTTGTTTTTTTACAATTTGTTTTTAAATTTATTTTAATTTTGAAGTGCAAAGAACGTATTCAACACTACATTGACTTTCCATTGTATAAATAAGAATGAAGCATTATTGGGATCCCTTATGATTCATCCAGTACTACAATACCTTGTAAACGCAACTAACCACGCTATATATGTATCGTATGTTTTTTTGGTTCTAATATCAAATTAATACTCCCATTCTTCTTATAATATTAAAATACAAGTTTTTTTTTAAAAAAAAAATAGAGGTGAAATTAATCTTAAATCAGCGTTTATTACGACGTGACCTCAGACCTGATGATGATAAACCATTAGTCATGAAAGTAGATGGTTCTTTCCAGTTCCCTGATGAAAGGGGAGTTGAAATTAGCATGGTCGAATTATCTGGTAGATATTTAACCAAGGACATGCCTCGTTATTTAAAAGATCATGTAAAGGGGTATTGGGGATGCCGTGATCTCCTCAATGATATAATAATAAAATTTAAACATAGTGACTATAAGATTCTGAGACGTTTGCGTGTTTGGTTTTTCACATATACACGGTAAGTTAATAGTTGACCCGAGTCTTAGTTTTTGTATTTTTAATAATTTTTCTTTCTTGTGTATAGGTCTTCAAGTACAAATCTGGGGTATGGATTTAAATGTTTCCAAAATTTATCGAATGTTTCTAATTGGTACCTTCCAATTTCCGATCAGTTGGGAGAATCATCATGAACTGGCATGCGCTAAGGGTTTTGCAAAATCTAAGAGTAAGAAAGATCTTCTTTTCTTTGTACTGAAGTATTGAAATATCTCGTTCTGATCATTATTCTTTTTCATTCAGATGATTCTCTCAAAGTATTTGAAGAATTAAAAAAATCGCATTGTCGAAATACTCTAAAAAGTTATATAGGTGATGCTAAGAGTTCACCACAAAAACCTATCGGAAAAAATCACGTATCATAAATCCGTTGGAGCATCATATGACCATGATCCATCTCCATCGAAATATTCTGGATCTCGCCAATTGAGTTCTGATTGAAATTGTGTATATATTAGGTTTTATATTTAGTATTCTTGTGATGGAATTATTGATATTTTACAAGAATTTTCTTTACCTATTTATATTTTTGAAGCTTAATTATAAGAAACATTGAACAATAAGCTTTAACCAAATTCATTAAATTACGCCCTTATGTGTAACAGAATAATTCAAAATCTTTTCTCCAGGAGAATAAATTATTATTAATATAGTTATCCAAAATAAGTTCTTTAATTAAATATCAAAAATATTGACATTTTAATGACTTTCCTCTAAAATAATTTAATAAGGAAATGATGTTTACATCATTTTTTTTTTCATTAAAGAGTAAGATTAACCATTTCTCTAGAGAACTTTGATTCTGTCTATTTTATTTTATTTTATTTTATATGCCCATTTTATTTCATAATCATTTTTCGCATTGCATGTTTTTAATTCAGTTTTAACATTAATTATATATAATATAATATAATAATAATAATTAATAATTGATAAAATTGAAAATAATAAAGAACGACATTAGTATTGATAAAATACATGATTAAATAATAGGCACATGATCAAAATTATTTCTGTTCCTATATTATTCGAAGGAATGAATACACAACCCTTGAAAACCCTAACCCCTGCTGTATGTATAGAATAAGATGTTCAACACCTGTGATTTAAAGTTTTCGATAATCTATAATGATAAACAATAAATAATAATAGAGAATATAATAATAAAGAATAATAAAATAATAAAGTATGTATGTATAATAAATAATCTATAATAATAAATTATTCCTTGACAAGTTGAAATACTTCATAATCTTCAACTTCAAATGATCCGATATCAACCCCGCTTTGATAAGTAATTCCGGTATGACAATGAGATTTAATAATTTTACTAACAAAAAATTCGTTATGATCAAAATAACCAAAAGTTGGACCAAAACTATTAGTTTGACAAATCGCTGTTTGATGTTTATTCTGTTTAACACGGCATAAAATTGAATTATTGTTTAAATCCATTTCATCTAAATGATAAATGAAACTACTTTTCGTGGGAGAATATTTTATACAACCATGTTTTAATTTATACCATCCAACAGGATTATATCCTCCAATAACTTTATTTGGTTCATTTTTAATTTTTACAGCAATCACGCATGATCCTTTATTATCGCATTCTTGATGAAATTTAACAGGAGAATAACCATTCCAACTAGCACGATATAATAAATTCCATCTCCATTTTTGTATTGTAGTTTTTCCAATATAAAGATAATTTGGAATCCATGATGCCTTTTCCGATTCATTGATCCAATTTTCAATAAGAGTCTTTGCTTCTTCCGATAAAATTGATGAATCTTCTGAATATGTTGAAGAATCTGAATGAATTTTTAAATCTGGTGAGTTAGATGAATATATTGAATCTTGTATTATAGAAGTAATGGATGATGTTTCGTAGTTTTGAGTTTCGGTAATTTTCGTATCATTTGATGTTGTTGAATTAATATCATCGCTTTTAGTCTTTCTTGCTGGTAAAACTACACTCTCTGGTGTATAATATGAAGTGATATAATAAGCAACTAAATCTTTTCTTAAAACTTTTGGTAAAATTCTTTTGTAAGGATAAACAAATTTATAAAAATCATCAGAAAAAATTTGAAAAAATCTAATCAAAGGAATAAGATCATGTAATATTTCCTCTAAATTATTAAAATCCTCTTTTGACCAATTCATAATATCTTCACCACCTTCGGTCACATCTTGAATGTGAGCTTTTCCCCATTCAATTAATTTATTCCATAATTCAATTTCTGTAAATCCTTTAATATAATCAAATTTTAAAATTAAAAGTAATATATTTTTGGATAAGAATTTAAAATTGCCAGAATTAAGAATTTGATGTGAATTGGAATTAAGATACGTGTCACAGAATTTGGAAAGTTCAGTGTATATATTATTATTATAAAATGTATTTAAAATTTCAATAATATATTCATTAAATAATTCAAACTTTTTCTCTAGTAGAAAGGGTTGGATAAATATGATAAGTTCATTTAAGTTTAGGTCAACTACAACAGAAGAAAGGTCAAGTATAGTAATGAAACCAAGCTTTTCAAAGTCAATAATTCCCATATATAGATATCTATTTTTGATATAACATTAGAGAATTTTTTTTTCGAATAATATTAACAATATATTAATAAATAATATTAGATATTAATTACAATGATATTAATATAAATTAACATACAATAATAAATATTAATATTATTACATTAATAAAAATTGCTAAAGCTCACCAGAGGTAATTGTCACCACTGGGCAAAGTTAGGGTTAGGGTTGATCAGGGAATTATGTAATTTTGCCCGGCGATGACAATCACCATCGGTGAGCTTTAGCAATACTCTATTAAAAATACTAATAATAAATATTAACAATAATTACCTCAAAATAATTTCATAAGAGATTGGTGTGTTATTAGGTTTATTAATAATAATAATTCCATTATCATTTTTTTGTAGTGAATCGATTTTAGAAAAGAGTAAATTAAAATAAGATGATCGAACACTCAATATTAAAGAATGAACTTTGAATTGTTTTTGATTAGGAAATTTTCCGACTTGAATAATAACATCATGATTGATTTCTGTTTCGAGAAGACTTCCAAAATTTTCAGAAAGTTGATTATAGAATGTCGACATTTTTTTTTTTTAAAAAAAAAAAAAAATTATCGGTTGGCAATGGTTTAGAGAATTTTATTTTCAAGCACCAACTCTGCAGTAAGAAAATCTATTACATAGTTGACTTCATAAAAATAGAATTAAATGGAGCATTTCCAGATGCAGAAGATGCAGAAATACTTTTACGAAAGAAATATCTACTTATTTTAATAATACATGTGAAAATGGCGTTAGTTTGGAGATGCATGATATTGAGAAACTAGATTCCGCAAAGTCGGATCGGATCAGAATTTATCTATATCCGGATCCGGTCCGATATTCTAAATTCTTAATCCGATCCGGATCCGTAACAATATTAATTATCAAAGTTATGCTGTAACTCAGGTCAGGCATGAGAGTAAATATAATGAACTTAATTGATAAGAGGAAATATTTAATTTAAAGGAAACGTGGTGTGGTTTACCGTAAACCGTTTACGTGTCAAGAATTTGAAATAAAAAATCGACAAAATTTTTATAAATATAAATAATATATTAACTCATTTAATTAAAATTCTATAAAAATGATGATGACTTATAAAAATTTTAAAAATCAAATTATGGTAGTATTTACAAATTAAAAAAAATATATGAAAAATAATACTCTATAAACTGTAATAAATTAACTTGATAATTGATTGATATAACGATATTAATAATAATAAAAAAATTAAAATAACTTGATAATTGATATAATGATATTAATCAAAAATTTCAAGAAATACTACATACGCAACATCTTAAAGGTGAACTTGAATTATCTGTTTTTGATTTTTCATTCATTTCATTGTTTTCATTTTTTTCATTTTTTTCATTTTTTTCATTTTTTTCATTTTTTTCATTTTTTTCATTTTTTTCATTTTTTTCATTGTTTTCATTGTTTTCATTGTTTTCATTGTCTTCGTTAACTTCGTTAGCTTCGTAAAATTCGTAAATTTCATTGTTTTCATAGTTATAGTCGTCAACTCCATAAAGGTCACTAATTTCAATAATTTCACTAATTGCAATAGTTTCATCATCATCTTCGTCAACTTCATTAAAGTCATAAATTATTTCTAAAGATATAAATTAATTTTAATTAATAAAATATATTAAATTTTTTAATCAATATGATTTAACTTTTTTTTTAAAATGTAATAATTTACCTGTATAACCTTTAAGTTCATCTCTTGAAAGTTTCTTCGTAATATTGATATATTCATTCAATGGTCTACTTGTATAATGTGCTTCAGGATGTTGCATATTTATTTCGAATCCGTCATCAATAGCATCTTTCAGCATTATTTCATCGGCTCTTTTAAATACATTATAAATATCTGAATCTTTCTTTGCATCATTTAATGCCATGCACCAATTCCAAATAAAATTATGTACTTCTTCACTCGTTGGTCTCTTAGATGGATCATCGTGCCAACATAATTCCATCAAATCCACATAAATTTTTGGAGTACCTTTTATAATTTCAGGACGAATGCCATCACAAATATCCATAATTAAAAGAGGATCATGTGGACGATCATTAAATGGAGGTTCTCTTGAAGTTAATTCCCACATTAATATTCCTAAATTATAAATATCTGATTCAAATGTAAATAATGATTCACCACGTAATATTTCCGGAGCCAAATATGGAATTATTCCATAAATTTCAGTAGATTCCAAATTGTAATCTGCGGGTTTACATAATCCAAGATCACTTAAGAAAGTATATTCATTATTTTTTAAAATATTTCCGGGATGAATGTTACCATGTATATAATTATTTTTATGAATAAATCTAAGTGCATTCGTTATATCTTTTAACATTTCTAATCTATCTTTCCAAAGTAAAGGAACATCTTTTAATTTTTTCCAATTTTCATTTTTACAATAATTCATAATTATTGCATATTCTTTTGTAATAGGATCTTGGGTTATACCATAAATTTTTATAATACGAGTAAAATAAGCATTCTTGATTTTATAATATATCTTAATCTGTATGAATGAATTATATAAAAATATAAATATATAATAAAATAAAATTAATATAATATAAATATAATAAAATAAAATTAATATAATATAAAAGCGTAAGAAAATAAAATTAATTTAATATAAAAGCGTAAGAAAATGAATAAAATATAATTAAATAAATATTTACCTCATCAATAAAATCTTTAGTAATATTTTGAGAATTTTTTAATTTCTTCATTGCAACCGTATTTGATTTATTTAAATAATTAAATTTTATAATTAATTCATTTGGCATATTATTCCATACAGCTTTATATACCACACCGAAACCACCTTCCGCAATGTATTGAATATTATCTAATTCATTATATTCAATCCATTTTAAACAATTCCAATCATTCGGTCTTGCCGTTAATTGATTTTCGTGAATTAATTGATCAATTTCATCGTTTCCACTTGTCCATAATGAAAATGTGGGAATGATTTCTAATGGTTTACAATTTGGACACCAATTACATTTAACTTTTCGTTCTCCGCAATCATAACATTTCCCATATTCCCATTCATTACAATAACCACAAATTATAAAATTGACTCCATTAGCTTGCCAGCAATTACTACAATAATAAAAATTTCTTGACATGTTGAAAAATTAAATAAAGAAAGAGAAATATTTTATTGAATCGATATTTTTATAAAAAAAAAATAATGGATTTAATAAATTTAAGAGGGATCTGTTTATTTATTAAAAAAAAAAAAAATTAAAAATAATTTAGAAGCGAAACGAATAATGCAGTAATACATTAATTTTATATATATATATATCCGAGAATTAAACTTTTTAAAGGAAATAATGATTTTTCGTTTTTTGATTGGCAAACAATTTCAATTCATAGTGAACTTACCATTTTTGTCAAGCCGAGCCGATTTGATATCTTTTTATAAATTTTATAAATTTTATAAATGAATGAAAGATTATCTTTTTTTTTTGAATTTAACTTTAAAGTTAAGGCTAATAATCAAAAAATAGAAAATCAAAATATTCTAAGAATTTCACTTTGGTTAGCAACAAATTATTCTCTAGGATAAAGATGTTTTAGCATTGTTGGCGATATAAATTTGATGATAAACAAAACTGCAAATGATCGCGTGTCTAACAAATAAATAATATATTTTTCATTTTTCATAATTTTTTTTTCTCGAACGGAAGTTAAAATTTGAAATTTGAAATTAATAAATCAATAAATCAAAAAAATGAGTGAATATTATATCATACTCAAAAAAAAAAAAAAAAAGATATCATTATTGCATATCTTTTTTAAAAATATAATTATTTAGTAATCAATTATAAAAGTAAAGTATGATAAATATGATAAATTTATATTTCTTTAATTATTATAAATGATTGGAATTATTATTATTATTTTTATATTTTTATGTTCATAAATTCTGAAAACATTTCATTATAAAATATTTAAAATATTCAAAATATTCAAAATATTCAAAATATTCAAAATATTCAAAATATTCAAAATATTCAAAATATTCAAAATATTCAAAAT